GAATGAAAATCATTAGTCAATAAATAATTAATACACCAAAACATTAACCAAAATGCTTCAAAAAAAATACTATTTAATCAAATGATAGAAAATGTTAGAGGTATAAATATTTCAAAAAGAAAAAAATAAGAGTCAAAGTGATTATTTTATCAATATTAAGTTTACTTTCTATAAAAGCAAATTATTGCAAATAAATTTCTTGTTGGTGATGTAGGTGAAAATTGTTGGTGAGAACTTATATTATACTTGCAAAAATATCTAAAATAGAACAGTTGATAACATGAATTTGACCTAAAATTTATAGTGGGTTATTTCATCCTCAAATTTTGAGTTTTTATTAAAAAAATAAAAATCTGAATATATATATATATATATATATATATATATATATATATGAATACTAGTTTCCTTAAAATGCGACTTTAACATAGAATTGAGGATTTGGGGTAGTGTTAAGGTTCATGGGTTCTGGCATGCTTCTTTGCCATTTTCCTCTTTAAAAAATCGATTTTCTTCAGGTCAATGGCAGTCTGCAGAAGGCACATAAAAGGCATGAAATGAACCGTTCTTAAAAAATAACATGAAAACATGGTGGTGCTCATTAATGCATGCATACGCATATGAATCACAGGACATAACACTTCGATTAACAAAAACTTCAATCGCACTCGTCGCTTCTCAAGTTTCGAACGCTCATTTCAGTCGTACTTTCCGGGTTTCCCAGCATGGATTCCATGCAACTCCACTATCTACAGCATGAGCCAATGTCAAAAGCAATGATAGAGTCCTTAACAGTTGCATTTTACGTAAATCTTTAAAGCAATATGAATGTGAATCATTTCACTGCGATTGAACAAAGTAAAAGATGTTAGCATATTATAGGATAGATCTGCTACAAACCGAAACCAGAATCCGGTTTCATGAAACAGGGTTTTTGAATGTCCTCCAGCAACAAGAATCTTAAGAGACCGGGTTTTCGAATTTTTCCACAAGCTACAAGAATCTTAAAGCTTTGGCACGATGCATGAACTCGAAAGAATACAAGGGGGTTGGACATTCATCATCCTCGTCCTATTACAATTTATTAAGCTAAAAGAAAGGTGTGAAATTAACTTAATGCAAAAGAGGTTGTTTTTTTTTCTTTTTTTCTCTAACAAATCAAAGGATTCTATAGTTTTAGCAAACACCAAGGACCCTCTTCACATGGACTCACATGATGATTGTTAATGAACACCTTGGTAAGTTTACCTAGTTACTTGCACAACATTCCAAAGGCAAAGCATTGACAGTGGTGGAGCCCACCGTGGATTTTAATAATAAAAATTTTCTTTATTTTTTTACCAATGGCTTCTCTTTCTTCTGCCCTAGTTGTCTTTCTAAATGTATTTTTACCAATGGATTGCAGCCCCTAGCTCTTCTTAAAAGTTGAAAAGCTGATTAAACTATACTATTTTGATGAGGGAATCCGAAAAATCGGTATTATGGGAATGTGGTCCACCGAAATAAAGCCTAAGCTGTATAGTTACAAAAGATTTATTTATTCATTGATCATGGAGAATCATGCATCAGCGATTGAAATTTGAGAGCATGTTCACTTTCCAAGTCTAAAATGCTTAATAATTTTATTTCCTGCATGTACCTGTCGTGGGGTACATGGCACCATCAGTGAATTAGTGCCATTTGACCTAACTTTCAAAAGGTTCCACCTCCTAGCTGGTTAGATGATCTAATATCATTTCGAGTTTCCAATCAAAGAACGACAAATTCATCCCATTGAACACCACGTCCAGTCCATTGATGAACATTTCCACATACTCTATTAAAGCAGGAATATTTTAATGCACTCACTAGTTTGCTTTTCCTGATGAATCACTATTTTTGATGCAATCCTTCAATTGTAAAAAGGTCACCAGCTACAATATTCATCTCCTGAAGGAGACATATAAACTAGAAAAGCAAATTAAAACGAAAGAGTCTACTCAAAGAAAGAGCCAAATTGACTAAACCATTCCAATAGCTACCGCCCTGTCAATTTTTATCGAACAGCAATCTTTTAGTATCCGTACATGGAAGAAAGATTCAAATAAATGATTCATCAGCTCCTCATGTATGGAGGCTAAAGATTGTTGCTCAACAAAAACAGAAAATTGAAGGGAAAAAAGGAGTGCAAATTATATACTGAAGATTTATATCTATAGTTCTACACTGTCCATACCTATAGTTCTCCAAAGTTCTAATTGTAGTTTTAATTATAGAGTTAAAATCAAAATACAACTTTGATGGGACCCATCCATGTATGATATATATCTATAGTTCTAACACAGTCCAACTTATACACCGAAGATTTGAAGTCAAAGAATTAACCATCAAGTTGTTATCTCTCCCTTACCGTTGATTACTTCAGCAGATTATCAATCAATAGATACTGATAAATGGATAATTATGCATCCAGGGACATAGTTTTAAGGCACTAGAGTGGACTATCACGTATATGTAAAACTAATTTTTGATTAACAACAATAATAATTAACTTGTCATGATCCATATCTAGGAAGAAGTCGGTGGAAGGTCCTTTAAGTTCGGTGACTGGCTATTGGTATATAAGGCACAAAATTTCTTTCAATCCTAATATGAACCTTAGTAAGCAAGCTAGATTAATTTAATTTTCTTTCGTTAGCATTTAGGGGTGCTTAAATATGGAAAGATTACAAGAAACAAATATCCATTTTGTCTTAATGTTTTGCAGATTTCACGGCTCTTCAATCCCAGATTTTAAACGTTATAAAGCTAGATATGTTGCATGTAGGCATACTCAAATAGAAACTACAGCCTTCATTAAAATAACATCTCACTTCCATAAGAAATATGAAGGAAAAAGAGACGAACAATAAAATACAAAACAAAAGCTAATATTTACGGTAATAAACAGGTTCTTTCGAGATATATATTTATATTGGAACTTCCATATAAGTGATTCAAAACCATTGTATTGGAAAATAATGGAATGTTAAATCTTACCACCGATTGCATAAATAAAGGACAGGATTTCAATCTTTTGCTCTTGCATTCTCCAGATAACTGTTGCATAATAATGCAGGAATTGTAGAGCTCTGCTTATTATTATCCATAAAGCATGCTGGAAATAATTGAATGCAGGCGGGAGGGGGGACCATTAACATATTGAAAAGTGTGGGGGCACATTGATATTTTCCCCCAGATAGAGTGCAGAAACGGACAATTGTAGGAGAGGGCAAAAGATGGGTTAATGACACCTATTTCAAGGAAAAGGGTCCCACTCAATGAAAGCAGATCTAGTTGACAATCCGACTGATTAAGAACTTGCCTACCACATGTTTCATGATGTGAGCATCTTAGCTACTAGACCCCCCTAAAATCCCGCCAGTATTTCGGGGTTAGCTCGAACACTGTCCAATGCTTCATGAAGTTTTCCATGTATATTTCTAAACTTGGTATTTGATAACAGTCATTAGTTTCTCTTTCAAGGTTAGACAAACGCATCCGAAAGCATCAATGGTCAAAATTTAAGGAAAACGTAATGCTAACAAGACAAAAATGAATGCACAAAAAAGAAGAAAACGTAACAAAAATGAATGCATGGGGTCGGACTATGGTACTCTTATTAAAGAATTCAGTTCAATAACTGACATCAAGACTCCAGATGCATGCATACCAGAAATGGTGGTATTGACCTTAATTTCATACATAACGCAAGACATGAATGCCCCTTCAGTCCGTCCCCTGCAAATAGTATTTTTTTTCTTTTAAGGGAAGGGGTGATGGTGCATTCATATCTTGTTTTATGCATGAAACTAAGGTCAACTTGCCACACTCTATATGCATGCATCTTGCTTCTTGCCTCTTGACATGAGTAAACTGCAATAAAGAAAGGGAGGCAAAATAGTTCTGTTGGTTGGAAGCATTTAATATTTTATTCAATTTCATTTTGTTTCCAGGAGTAAAACATCAGCAATTTTGATCTTATAGATAATTGAATATCCTAATGTTGACCAAAACATTAAAATAATTCATCAGTGAGAATATTACTACTTATGGTTACAGAAGCAAAAGTTAAAGTACGATAAAAGGAACAAAATGCTACAGAATGACGCTACTGAAAGAAAGATCAAGTGAGAAACCATGATCAAATGGAAGCATTACCAGTAAGTGGCATACCCTGCTGCAGATCCTAAATATAGAGGAAGGACAAGTTTTCTGCACTGGTTTTCACCATTTATCAAGTTCATGCTCAGAATAAGCTCAACGTACATTCTACTGCTAATTTTCCGAAAGTCAAACATACCTTTTCTTTTCATTTTCTAGATACAAAGAGAAATCTACATGGTGCACCTGCTCCAAAAATTACCTGATCAACCTACCAAGGTAGCCAGTATTTACTAATTTATTTCTCAATCTTAAGAGTTGTGACAGCATAGCCAGTGGATACAACTTACATGAAAATGAAAACTGTGAGGCATTCTAGATTTTTACTTCTTTATCATTTATTTATTTTTATTAGGGGCAAGGTTTTCCGTGTTTGAACCTGGGGCCTATTGTCAAAGTAAGTCATTTACCACTGCACTTATTAAAGCTAGTTGATGAAATTCTAGCTTATTGGTTGGCCATGTGAATATATAAATGAGACTGAGAAACAAACCGAATTCAATTCTGCATCCCCATGTGCATGTACCTGCATAGCTGAAGACAATGGCATGTGCATATGCAATATGCTACATGTATTGGTCTAAACTTAGCATTCACTAGCCTATTCCATCTTGACAGAGATTCAAGAGGAATGATCAAGGTTAGTGTTATGGATGAGGGACTCTTATTATTCTTAGGATAAGTTACTTTGAAGTGCCACATGTTAATCATAGGCTACTCTAACGGCAGAAATCGTAACAAGGGGAAAGAGAAGATCTCCCTACAAATCATCTTGTGACTCAATCCTTAACTTGTGAACATAAAAGTTAGGCTTATCAGTATGATTATGTAAAGATAAGTGTCCAAGGCCCTAAAATCGGATTTGTCTTGACTGAGGACTTATTTATTTGACATATGAATAAACGATACAAAACATTAGTTATATTATATACTCTGAAAGGTTCAGATAACTTCATGTTTTGTTCTCCATGCAATTGGACTGGAGATATCATTTTGCAGGGTCAGAACCGTCGCAACAGATTTAGGATGTCTTATGGGAAACATGATAACTGAATCTCAATAATTTATTCAATGTACAATGCCCTCTACATGAAATTGTAAACCAAAACAAGCATAAACAGAGATAAGAAAAGTCCATCAGCAATTTCCTTCAGCTTGTTCCAAAAATCAAAAGGAATCCGAAACTCATACAAGTTATTTTGTTGGTATTCTGATAAGAGAAATTTATCACCGTAAGCTATATGGAGATAATAACGAATATGCACGTCTAGTGATTCACCAAAAGAACAGAAGAGGAAAAATGTCTCTTCAAACAATACCTCAAGTAGAGCTGCTGACCAATAAATTTATGCAGGCTTCTGGAATTTACCATGTACCCATACTCTTTTCATGCTCTTCCCATTTCGACGATTCACAGACTTCACACAACAATATTCAATCTCAAGCTGCAAGTGCAAAATAAGATAACATTCAATACCACTAGCAGTCAAAACAGAAACTTCTTGAAGATTGTTATCTTTAGATATGAAAATAAATTATAAATCAAATAATTCCGTTCCCTGGATACCCAAGCAAGAAGGTTCTATTCTCTCTTTGATACAATGAGTCAGGCAAACAATACACAAGTGCACAAGAGACCATTCGAGACTGAGATTTATGAAGCAAAAATCAAACCATTGGTGATGAAGCATATTATATCTTATACCTCAATGAAGCCAGCACAAATAAAGAGATTTCTGACAGTATCTAGACAGAAAAAATATGAATGGGTGCCATCTGAGCGCGTGTATTCCCTGAACCCAACTCTTTGGTCTGCTTCAAATCTCAGCATGGTCATATCATAGAGACCTGGATTTCATCAAACCGAAGCTTTTGTAAACTGATTCTGGCAACACATTTGGCTAGAAAATACAAGGCCTGATGATAAACTATATTACGGTCAAATATATTACGATATTTTAAAACATCAGCATTGTCAATTGTTGATTAATACCATAGTCCCTAAATAAGAGCATGCCACCAGGCTTTAAGACAGAAAAGCACTCTCTGAGAGCTGTTGGCATTATTTGGAACGGTACTGCTGATAATGTGAATATCTGACACGTTATGTAGCAAAGAAAACATATCAAAATCCATATACCATAGACTCAATCGTATTTTATATCTATTTTTCAAATAGTATAATAATTTCAGGATAATATTTTTTTAAAAGGGGGAAGATACAGGTCTCAGCATAGGACTTGTGCAGAAAAGGATATCGGAAATATATGTAATTAGAAATGTTAGAAGAACTATATAATATAAGTGGCAGTCCACCACCATTTCCTAAGACATGTATTCAATTTGCAGACTAATCATGACATTCTGCACCAATACATGTCAATCCAGCACCAATTTAACGACAAGAGGTGAACTTTCAGAAACATATGCAAAAATACATAAACTTGAAGGAAAATAGAAGAAGAGTATATTCAACCACAAATTCTTCTAAATGATGGCATGCTTTGTTTCCCTGGCTAGTTTCCTGTCACAAACTCAGTCGTGCTCTTATCTTTCCAGCATTGTAGGTTACAATCCTCTTTTTCATTTTTTCTTCTTTTACTAATATTTATTGGACGATTTATCGAATCAATGTGATAACTTTCAAACATGGACAATGTAAATTATTTTTACTTCAAAGAAAATTAAGATTTCTGTAAAATATTAGGAAGAGAATGTTTTCTAGTATTCTATTCATCAATGATTCAACATTATGGGTATATATACAAGTAATATCCTACATTAACTACAATATATATCAACCCAAAGATTAGCCTATAAATCTGAAACAATATCTAATAACATCAACTATCAAGGCATTGATGACAAGATGCATACCAAAGTAATAAAGTCCACACCACCAATGCAAGAACTTCTTTCTCCCATTGACAGTGAATCAGTTTCAAGGGTTCTTTCTTCTCTGACATCTTGGAAGGAAAAAAACAAGATATCAAGCCATGGAAGCAGGACCAATGTAAGAAACAGGAAAGATGGCTACCTGAAATGCAGTTTGGATTCTTTTCTCCAAAATTTTCTCTGCAATAATCACAAGCCAACCACTTTGGAAACCCAGTTGTTGCAAAATCACAATAGAATGGGCAGAAACGATGCTCAACTAATGCTACATTACTAGCAACTACAAACTCTTTAGCTCTCTGTAGGGTCTCGTTGCTACAATCGCATGCATATAGAATAATTTTGTCATTGCCTCTGGATAAACATATGGAGGGTCTAAGTATAAAAGAAAGATAATTCACCATTATTCAATATTACTGCTCATCTCTAATTTCTCAATCCTGCAAGATTGATCTTCAACACAAAACTTTAAAGAAAACAACCTCAACTAAACCGAAGTGATTAGTTTAGATTAGCTGCTACCATGGATAAAACAAGTTAAAAGTAAACATAATTTGTTCAATTAACTTCATAAACCTTGAAACATTCGTTCAACAATGTTAGTAAACCATTAACCTTTCTTTAATAACCAAAGAAACCAATGGGGTTGTAATATCATCACCATAAAAAAATCAGTTTCCACTAAACCAGATAGTTAAGAATATAGTACAACTATCAAAATTTATTCAATTATAACAAGAAGTAGAAAAAGCATATAAAACATTTGCACAAATGATCACTTTACCCCCTATTTCTCTTGGCATTTCATCCTCATGTTTCAATTTTTAGTCAAAATGGCAAAAATTGCCTCGGATCGGTCGACACATGTTGATTACGTGACATTTTCACATGTGCCAAAAAAAGAGGATAATTTAGTGGTTACCGCAATATAGGAAGCGCAGTACTGCCATTTCCACAGCCAACCTCTAAAACCTTAGAATCATCTCCACAAGAAACCAGCTCTGGAAATTCTTTCAACAAGTACCTCCTCTCCTGTATCAACAAAGTACCCATTTAAGCTCACACAAAGTAGAACTAAAAAAATAAAATACCCAGAAATAAAATGAAGCAAAGATTGGATTTTTTTATTGTTATAGACAAACCAACCTTGAAGAATTTGCCAGAAGAGTGTTGAATGTGAAAGCTTTGCCATGCTTTTATTGGATCTTTTGAAACCTGTTGCTGCGGTTGTGGGGAAACGAAAGGGAGAAGATGGTAGGTAAGAGAAGGATCGGTTTCTATTTCTTGTCGGAGTGTTTCCCAGTCGAAGTCTTTGGAATGGTACTCTGCAGCTTCTGCTGCCGATACGCTCATTTTCTTGTCTTCAAAACTGTCTCGTAGGTTCAAAGTTTTGTGGTTTCATGCAACCACATGTAGGGTTTTTGGTCTCAAATTAAATGTTTGTCTCCAGCACAATTTGGGCCCTCTAGATTTCAATTTTTTTTCTCTTCTTTTTACCAGGAGCAAACGTACTCTATAAATTTAAAGATTAGGGATATATTATGAAACAAAATTGGAATTAAATGTTTCTCTTCTTTAAGATCATTTGTAAAATTATTTTTTTAATATGTTCCTAAGTATATTTGATTCTATGTCACATAATTAAGTCAAATAGAAATATACATTCTACTAAAAATTATTTTCTCCATCGTACTAAATATATCTATTATTGACTTTTAAAAAGTCAAAATCTTTAACTTTGACCATGGTTATTTTAAAGATTTTAAACGATTAATTTTTATAAAATAGATATTTAAAAATTAATTGATTTAAGAATCTTAAAATATATTTTCATATTTTTATCAATAATAAATTTTAAATAATAATGAATTAAAATGTTTTACATTGTTTGTTTTTATCAACAATAATATTTTCATATCTAAAAATGAATTAAAAAAAGTTGACAAAAAAATCAACCGTGAATATATTTAGGGTTTGTTTGTTTCACTTAAAATAGTTTCTGGAAAATGAATTTTGGAAAATGAATTAAATTTCCAGAAAACATTTTACATTGTTTGGATGTTGCATTGTAAAATGTTTTACACTGTTTGGTTAGTTTTTCTGAAAACAATTTACGGAATCTATTTTTTTAAAATGTAGATTTTTATATTTTTCTTGTTATTTATGTAACAACCCGAAAATTTCAAAATAATATTTAATTGGGAATTGAGGTTTTAATTGTGAAAATTGGTAATTTTTTGGGGGCTAAATTAAAAGATTTTAATACTTGTAGCTTGTTTTAGAGTTAAAGAAAATTTAGGGACCAAGCCCTGAATTTACCCTAAAATGTTAGGTATGTTTGGGTTATAAACAGAAAACCACGCCCAAATTTCCCTTCCCCTACGTCAACTTCCGACGACGATCCCGACACCGTCCGAATTCCGATCGTCGTTTTAAAACCACCATCGTGTTCATCATAGAGCGAGGAACAAACCCTTCAATTTAATTGAAGCAAAACGCTGCCAAACGCCGTGAATTTTAAGTCAAAGCATCGATATTTTTTTTAGCTCAATCGCCTAGAAAATCCTAAATTCATAGCTGATCGTTGCTCCGTTTACGACACCTCCTGCACCATCGTGTTTCTTGTGTCGTTTCGAGTCCGCCGTTGTCATCCTTGGTCTCCGTCGACGGTGGCGCGTGAGGAGGTGGAGCAGTCAAAGATTCGGCCGTGTTGAAATCGAGCTCTCCGCCGTTCAAAAATTTGAACCGATCTTTGTAAGTATCTTGAAATCGCTCAAAATAATTTTTAGAAATTTTTCCATGATTTTTAGAGCCCCGGAGGAGGTCCCCACACGCTACACGCGCCGCCGTAGGGCGAGTGAATAACTGGAAAATCGGTTTGACCGGTCTGAACCGGTCCGACCTGACCGTTGACCGTTGACCATTGTTGACTTCCTTTAACCAGAACTTTGACCGGCTATTAAACGATCGTTAATCTTTTCCGAGTATACCTATCCTGACAGTTTTTGACATTCCGAATCTGTTTTTGGGGTCCGTTTCGCCAAATTCGAACCCGAAAGTCTCCGAATTATCAGTCAAACCCTTTGACTTTGACTTTGCCCAAGAATTCAAATTTCCGAAAGGTCATATTTTATGTTTTTCGACGTCCTGAATCTGATTCCGAAGTCTGTTTTGCCAAATTCTGACCTGAAATCCCCGAATCGAGCTTGTGAACCCAAAAATGCTTAGTATTTTAGTATTTTGATTATTTATTTGAGATATGGTTAATGAATTGATTAAGTAAGATATTTTATGAAGGTACTCGTGTTTCACTTGAGCAAGGATCAGTCAGGTCCGGTGTTGTCTGTTCGTCAGATCAGTCCGAACTGCGTATTACAAGAATTACCCGTAGATTTCCGTATATTATTTAAGTAAAGATTAAGATTATTTTTTATTAGAATTCCAATAAGGATTTTTCCAATTCGTAGGATCTAACGCTGTAGCAGAGCGTGATCGACAAACCCCGTAGTAGGCTTCCCTATCCGATTTCTCAGACTGTTACAGGTGTGTTTCCTGATAGTGTTATATTATTGTTTTAAAGTATATAAAAATCTGAATACTGTGTATCTGATTTCTGATTTACTGCATATTTCTGATATGATTTCTGGTTACGGTATTTATTCTATTTTCTGAATACTGATTACCCAACATCTGAATTACCATACATTACTGATTTGATTTTTGATTTTTGATTTCTGTATTTCTGTTTATGGTTTTCAAGCTTGAAATATTCTTATGTTTTTAAAGAATTATTCATTGTTTTATACGAATACATTCATGTTCATTTCTATCATTGGGGGGGAAAATATTGTTGGAGGAAGATTACTGCAGGCTCCTCGGTTGTGTGCTCAGGGCCTTACTGTTACTGGTTGTGCGGGGTGTATGGTTCTAGGGAACCTACACAAACAGATTGTGAAAGGATGGGGGTAGTGTTCATGTTTTCAAAACATGTGCATAAACAAATTTTATTAAAATATTTCGTTAGTATGTTTTTATACACTGTTTGGAGCACACTGGGCTTTTTAGCTCATTTTGTAAATTTTAACCTTTTTCAGATAACAGCAGACCGTAAGCTAGCAGATTTGGCATCAGGAGAAATCAACTACTTTATTTTATACGAACATATATTTCTATATGTTTTTCGGTTATGTTTGGTGACATGTATTTTATTATCGTTTTGGATATATCGGTATTACTGCTATTTTGTTATGTATTATATATATAAATATTTTATAAGTTGTTTTAAATATAAAGGAATCTCTGAATGGGACATGTGCCTCGCTTAGGTTTAGGTCTAACGTTTAGGCCGGGTCTAGAGGGTTACATTTGGTGGTATCAGAGCTTTCGGTTTTAAACAATCGGACTGTATATGGGTCCTAAACTTTGGATTTTTAAGAAATTAAAAAAAAATGTCACCTTATTTTATAATTTAAAGTTTTCTCGAGATCCCTGATGCTAATCTGATATATGTTTCAAATTCATTCTGTAGAGCCTTATAGATCCAACGATAAATGCTGCTAGAGGTCGTAGGACAGGACGTGGACGTGGTAGAGGGCAAGTCGCTCGACCTTCTATTACGATAGACGATCCGATGTCACCACTTGATCCTCCTGTTCCACAAGTAGATCCGACTCTTTCTCATGATGATCAGTTTATTTCTGTGAGAGACCCTCCTGTCACTGAAGATGAGGATACTGAGATGAATGAAGACGCCATTAATAGAGCTATCTTCCGTATGTTTCAGAGAGCCGCTAGAGCCCCTAGTAACATGACTGCAGTGGAGATTTCAAATTCTTTGGTCGCTGCTGGTGTAATTCCATTCGAGGGTATTACTGGTGGACCTTCGACAGACGCTGAGTATTGGCTGGAAGACACAGAGAGAATTATGGATGAGATGGACCTCAGACCTGAGTAGAAGTTGAAGGGGGCCCTAATTATGTTGAAGAAAGAGAGCTTCAGATGGTGGCAATCAATTTCTGGTAGTATTCCGAGAAACCAATTAACATGACAACTTTTTAAGACACGTTTCCGGAGTTACTACGTCGGAGAGAGATATCTGCAAGAACGACGCCAGGAGTTTCAGAATCTGGAGCAGGGTAATATGACTGTTATGGACTATGAGGTTGAGTTCATCCGATTGAGTCGCTATGCCCCTGGACTTGTTAACACTGAGGCAGAGCGATGCTTGAGGTTCGAGAATGGACTCAGGTATGAGATCAGGAGTCGAGTCGCTACCCATCGGGAGAGGAATTTTGACGCCTTGGTTGAGATAGCCAAGACTGCTGAGGAAATCGAGCGATTGGGTATATAGCACAAGAGAGATAGTGATCGAGCCCAGAATCGATTCAGGAGGCCTTCTGGTTCTGTTGATTCTTCTGTACATCCTAGCAAGAGAGGCAGGGGTGAGTCTTTTCAGAGAGGCGGTGCGAGTGTCAGACATGTTGTATCTGGTTCTTCAACTTTTCAACCTTCTAGACATGGTGGATCTTCTGGGTCGCAATCTTTGCAGTCATGTAATTATTGTGAGAAACCTCATTATGGGGAATGCAGGAAGAAATTAGGTACATATTTCAGATGTGGTTCAAGTGATCATATTGTAAAGGATTGTCCGGTGATAACTCATTCAGTTCAGACACCAGCTCGTACTCCTGCTCGTACACAGAGTACTGTTCAGACTTCTGCGGGTGGTCGTACTCAGGAGAGAGCACCTGGATTAGATAGTAGAGGCCGAGCATCTCAGAGTAGGGGTTCAGTCAGATCTGAGGCCAAACAACCTGCATTGGTTTACACTGCTAGACTTCGACAAGATCGTGATGGGCCTAATGTGACTGCAGGTACTGTTACTATTCATTCAGTTCCATACTTTGCATTGTTTGATAGTGGCTCTACAAATTCTTATGTATCACATTCCGTTTCTGAGTGTCTAAATATTCCTGTTGAGAATACTGAGCTTTCAGTGATAGTTCAAAGTCCCTTAGGCAAGTCCATCGTGTTGGATCGTATTTTTAGAGAGTGCCCTATACAGATCAATGGAGAGATTTTTCTGGCCGACCTGATGGAGTTACCCTTTGAAGAGTTCGATTTGATTCTCGACGTATATTGGTTGGACAAACATCGAGTAAATATTGATTTTGAGACTAAGAGAGCTGTTCTGAAGACCCCAGATAATCGAAAGATTGTAATGATCGGGGAACGACGTGGATTTCTGACGAATGTTGTGTCTACCTTGGTAGCGGAGAAGATGATCAGGAAGGGTTCCGAGGCGTTTCTTGCTTATATTTTAGACACTGGGAGATCTCAATATACAGATCAATGGAAAGATTTTTCTGGCCGACCTGATGGAGTTACCCTTTGAAG